GCAATAGTCCTCGTGCCTAACCCGGCAATAGTCCTCGCGCCTAACCCGGCAATAGTCCTCGCGCCTAACCCGGCAATAGTCCTCGCGCCTAACCCGGCAATAGTCCTCGCGCCTAACCCGGCAATAGGCCTCGCGCCTAACCCGGCAATAGGCCTCGCGCCTAACCCACCCAGCAAGGCAGCCTCTTCAAAATGAATGTCCTGCCAATACACCCTTATGTGCTTAAAGAAGAACTCTGGGCAGAATATAAACTTACCCTCGCAGTGGGGCTACCCCCCGCACTGCAAGGATTAAATGCTTGTTTTTTCTCCAGGGGACCGAATAAAGAGCTCAACCGATCTTCGATCTTGCGGCATTGACTGCTCACCTCTCATCCCCCCCGCGTCGGCTGTGGAATGTCCATCAGAGTCCTCAAGTATAATACACTGCATTAGATGTGATGACCGCAGGTCATTAGACCGCTGGAGCCTGGGGAAGAAGAAGCATAAAAAAGTATATCTTTTTTTATTTTAGAACCTAGACCAAATTGAGCCATTAACCCTTGCAGAGCTGGGGTAGCCCCACTGCAAGAGTTGATGTTTATTCTGCTCAGAGTTCTTCTTTAAAATCTCACATGATCCTTTTTTTGCTTTTCTAACGCAAACTACTGCTACAACATAGGTGCATTGCCTTAGTACATGCGGGTGCCATTCAAACTGTATGAGTGGAATTTATCAATCCTGGAGCAAACAGAATCTGGAACAGTTGCCCATGGCAACCTATCAGCATTGACCTTTCATTTTCAAACCTTAACTGAAGAAACTGAAGAGAGAAGCTGAGTGGTTGCCATAGGCAACTGCTCCAGATTCTTCTCCAGTTTTAAGAAATCCCCCCCTATATCTTTGATGTGAACTTTGCAAATTAATTTCCCCCTAAATGCATATAGATAGAGAAATGAATGAGGGATTGTGTTAGCCCGGGTTCACGTTTCCGCATGTAACGCAGGCATGTGAATCCAGCCCAAGACAATCCCTCATTCACTTCTCTATCTATAAGCATTGCGGGGAAATGTAATTTTCAATGTTCACAACACAAGCATGAGAAAAATCAGCTTGTTTACTATGAGAGCAGATGTTGGCAGCCTGCCAGCCCTCCAATGTAAACAACCAGCATGTGTTGGGCTACGTTCACGCCTTAGTGATGCCGCACATCATTCTGCCTGCATCGCATGTTGCAATGTAATTTCTTAATGACACCCACAATGCACCAAGCCGTTGCATGTGTGTTGTATCACACCACATCGCATGGTAACCTATTACCATGCGATGTGGTGCAATGCAATAAAAAAGGTGATTGCATTTTTTTTTCAGTGAAATTTAGCTGCAGTTGGCAGCTCATTTAAATAAGTGGGCTCCTCTACCGCAACGCCCCACAATGTCCCCAGTGTTGTGTCATGACAGAGGGGTGAACAAGGGCTTAGGCTGCGTGGTAAAGCGCGGTGTTAGTGTCTGCTTGGTGGCAGCGGTGAGCTTGTGTTGTTGCAACGCAAGGCATTGTTTATTTTTTTAACAACTTTATTGGCAGCCTACAAAGTGTACACTCCATTCAAAGTCTCTGCACTGCACTGCGGTGACCTCCAGTGCACCACACCACACATTGCACCTGTGTGAACAGGGCACTTAGAAAATAAATGTTATCTATTTGCCCCAGCGGTGACCTGCGTTTTTCTTATACAAAAGGTCACCGCGTATGCTAGGTGGGGTAGGGAAACTTTGGATGTGGTGAAACTACAAATCCCAATAGGCATTGCAAGACCCTAACAGACACAGATTTGACTTTCAGAGGCAGATACGTGATAGAGGTCTGACGTTTGCCTACACCTGGCATATAGTAGGATCGTAGCCTTAGGCTGGGTTCACACCTAGGCGTATTGAATATGCACGTTTGTCGCGCAGTTCGCGGTAAAAAAACTTCTTTGGGCGTAGGCCGTTTTGTATCGCGTTCGGACGGGCTGAAATACGGCAAGGTGTGAACCAGACCCATTGAATACAATGGGATTTAGATGTTTGAGCGTTTTGTAGAGCGTTCGTCGAGCGTTGAACGTGCTACAAAACGTTCAGGTGTGAACCAGGCCTTAAGCCGGAAGAAACGTACTGCACCTGACTCTCTCTCTGTTGTGATCTTTGAAACTCTTTAAGAAGGAATAACTTCACAGTACAAGCAGCCAGAGAGGTCAGGCTTGTTATTTTACTGCTTGTCAATAATAATGGAAATAGTTTAATGTCCATAGGCTGCACTTGAAAAGTTTCAACAGGAAGAACAGATTTCTGCTGATCTTACTAATCAAAGTATCTTCATTAAGACTCAAAA